GCTGGTAACTATTATACCTACAGTAAATAAAAATATATCAAATAAGTACCTAGGTGATGAGGTACCCAAAGTCAGTACCGGGCGTCTCCAAATAAAATAAAATTAAAAAAAAAACCTGAAATTTATATGGAAACACCTTACCATCCATTAATTATTATTTTCCTTTCTAACAATCACTATTTGTATAATGAGAAAAGAACAGCAAAATAAAATAAAGATGATAATATACTGTAATTCACAGCAAAATTGGGAGAACCTGTACATCATTCCTGGAAAGATTATCGAAAACCAGACCTAAAAGTCAAATAAAATTAAACCAGTAGCTGATATCTCTCTCACTTACCCAGAACAGTGATCATTGAAGGTTCAGATAAATGGTACCGCAGGGTTCTGTTCTTATGAGCCCAGCAGGTATAATTACCACTCTGACTCGCCTTAATATTCGTCACCAGGAGTTTATCACCCCTTTGGCTCAGCAGTGTGTCATTAAGAGCCCATTGAAACTGTGCAGGAGGACTGGACTGAGCTGAGCAGGACAGGGTGAGGCTGGTCCCTGAGGTGAATATGGGCCCTGGAGGACTCACAGTTACTGCAACGTTATCGGGTCCAACTAAAACACATGTATTAAAAAACACAAAGAACAAACTCAGCAATACAATTTTTGGCATACTGTATGAAAACATTCATGCAGTGACCTACTTTGAGAGCCTCAAGAAAATCTATCTGCTCCATTGATCAAGCAGCCAAATGAATGAGGATACAGGTTGATAGGTAGGTACAGTAGGTAAGTAAGTAGATATACTTTACTTGGCCCCAGGGGGAAATTTCTATTCTGGCATTTGTACACTTGTAACACGATGTAACAGTCAGCTGCTAAGTAATAAGTCAATGTCATAAGCTTGACTGAGCAGAAAAGCAGGCTAACAGTACATTACCAATTAAAATCAAGGCGAAAACAAAATTTTATGAACAACTGATATTCAGAGTAGCTGGGTTATGAGTATCATGAGCAGAACATGCTTGAAATACGGATAATTACAAATAAATGATAGATAAATTCAGGCAAAACGTTGCTGATTTTTCAGGTGGGTCAGATTAACAGTATATCCATCTTTCTGATTTATTTAAATACATCATGCAACTTCTTTATTTCAGTGAAGCAATCGTTTCATACAGTCAGTCATTTCTTTCTGAACATAAGCATGCCAAATTGAACAAACTCACAGCTGACGTTAAAGGTGATAGGCCGGCTGGTGTTACTGCTGATGATATTGGTCACACTGCAGTATATTGGCTTCTGATCAGATCTCAAAACAGGACTAATGGTGAGAGTGCGACTGTAAGCACTCAGATGAACTCGTTCACTGACTATGATGTCAGAGCTGCCGTTGAGCCAATGGAACGTGGGAGAGGAACCAGAGGCGGAGCATGTCAGGCTGACAGAGTCATTGAACTCCACTAGCTCAGTGGCATTGGCTTGTATTATGACATCAGACACTTGTGCTGTAGGTTTAAACACAAAGAGAGATGTGTGTAAGCTTTGCATTGTCCTACTTTAATCCAAAAAGGGAGAAAATTAGTAGTGATGCCAGATGAAACAAAAAAATCAGTCTGTAAAATAAAAACATTTTTTAAATTTAAAGATTTTTTTTCCTCATACTAAACATTTTGTAACATTTATTTTCTTCCTGAAGCTGTATTTTCAAAGCTAAGTCTACATGCATGTTGTACATTCAGCTCCATAGAAGATCCCTGGTTAGACTATCAGACTAAATGTAAATGGGAATCAAGAAGTTAGTTGCAGCAGCTTGTGCATTTTGTTTAATTTTCTCTATCACTATGTCGCTGTATCTTATTTTTGTCTATATGAGTTTTATGTCTTGTTTAGTGAAGACTACCATGGGTCCTTTTGTGATGAGATGTCGTTGTTTTTCTGATATTTTCCACGCAGAGTTACACATTCCATAGCAAAGGTATTGTTTATAAACACGACCAACTAATAGCGCTCTGCAAACTGACCATTGATACGAAAATACACCTGAAATTCTGAGGAAACTGAGAACTGAGGACTGGAGCTAGATGCAGGGATAAGAGGGGAAAATACAAACCACCCATTCCTTATATCATCATGGAAAAGGTACGATCACTAGAGAATAAACGGATGAACTAGAAACACTAATGAAGACCCAGAGAGAATATTGTGAGCGCAGCATTTTGTGCTTTACGGAGACGTGGTTACATGAACACTACAGCGCTAGAGTGCCTGGTTTCAGGACATTGCCGGCAGACAGAAACAATTTGCTGAGGAGTAAGAAGAAAGGACGTGGGATTACATCATTTACAATTGAAAGGTGATGTAAGTGATGGACATGTTACTGTAAAGGAATGCTTCTGTAGCCTGGACATTGAATTTCTAGTTGTTGGGATGCATCCATATTATCTGCCCTGAGGATTCTCATCTGCCATTTTGGTTTATGTTTACATACAGTATCAATGTCAGTGGATGAAGACGCGGCAAGTGAAGCCATCCTTGTAACAAGTCTACAAAGTGGGAATGATAAAACACTAAAACTCCTGTATGCGAATGTAAAGGATTCTTACAGTTCAGATGCACTCCGACCCCTAGGCACATCAGATCATAACAAGGTTTTGCTAAAACCTAAGTATGTGCCCCCTGTGTGGAGGCAGCCGGTATCCACATGGACTGTGAGGAGGTGGACACAGGAGGCTGATGAGTCACTATGCGCCTGCTTTGAGGCCACAGACTGGGATGTGCTCTGCAAACCACATTGACTGGATATTGACAATATGGCAGACTGCATAATGGACTACATAATGTTCTGTCTGAATGTCACAGCTCCAAACAGCTAGGACTGTTCACTGCTTCCCAGACAGTAGACCCTGGATCACCAGTGACCTGAAGGAGCTCCTGAATATGAAGAAGAGGGCCTTCAGGTCTGGGCACAGAGATGAACTGAGATAGACAGAGAGTGATCTGAAGGTGAGATTAAAGAAGTACAAAGAGTCCTATCGGAGGAACCCAGAGAACAAGCTCCAGCACAAATGTCAGGGTTGGTGTCTTCTGACCCCTCCCTTTGTGACCTTTTCCCATTTGGCTGGCAGGCATTGCTGGTCATGCCGCCTTTCCCCCTCTCTGTGCTTCAGCCCTTGTATGTTTTCTCTGCTCCCCCAGGACTGCAGTGTAGCTCAGTGGGCTGAGCGTGTGGCAAAGACAATAGGTCTTAGTCATCAGATCAAGACTGGTCTCTAATCAGCCTCATTGGTTTACTTGTAATTAATGGTTTTCTGTTCCCCTTTGTTTCTTTCCTATCTGTCTCCCTCTTTAAGATTACCCAGCTTGTGTTCAGTTCTGTTTTGTTCTGTACTGTCTTATCCTAACATTCTCAGTCAGCAATTATATTTTCTAGTTTTGGTGTCTGTTTTTCTGTGCTCATCAGTGGAGTTACTTTTACCTGTGTCTCGTTCCTGTTCCTCTCTGATTGGTTAATAGATCATTGAGTTACACCTGTCCCTTCTTTGCCCTGATTGCCTATGTGTATTTATGTGTTCGTTCTGTTCATTGTTCGTGTTCATGTGTATTATAAACTCTGCTTGGTTTATCTAGTCCTGCTCCCCATTTAGCCCAGTTCCTTAGTGGTTTCTTTATTATTTCTCCCAGTTCGTTATTGACCCCTTGTGGTCTCTTTATTTTGTAGCTTAACCCATTTTGTTCTGTTTTTCTTTAATTAAATGTTTTTGTCTTGGACCCGCAAGTGCATCATCATCTTTTCTCACCAGCATCATGCTGCTCTGTGACAACAATAGGGACGTACAGTATAGACAAGCATGAAACAGATTACTGGCTTTAAAGTGGAGGATCGGCAGCTAGGGGGCAGTCTGGACAGGTCAATGAGCTGAACATGTTTTTCCACAAGTTCAGCAACAGAACTCCAACTGCTCCCTCCCCCGCCTGCATAGTCCAGAACTCTTTACTGCTTTATGATCAATCTCCCCTCCCCAAACTTCAACATACTACACCTCTGCTGAGATGAACACACTCCAGCATCCAATGGTGACCAATGAACAGATTAGAAGAGACCTGGAAAAACTCTACCAAGGTAAGTCTGCAGGCCCAGATGGCATCAGCTCCAGGGTGCTGAAGACCTGCACATGTCAGCAGTCTGGTCTTCAGCAGCATCTCTCTAACTTGAGCCTGTGTCGAGAGGATGCCAGTGCTGTGGAAAACATCCTGCCTAGTCCCAGTACTTAAGAAACCAGTGCCATCAAAACATGTATAGATCATGGGAGAAGAAGTTGAAATGGTTAAAGGCAATCAGGGCAAAGGTTAAAGATACTTAGGTGTTAACCTCTAACAATCTGGACTGGAAGACCAATATCAACTCTGTCTACAAGAAGGAGATGAGTAGACTATCATCTGGAAAAACTGAGATCCTTCAATATTTGTAGTAAGATGTCAGATCTATGAATTTATTGTGGCAAGTGCATTAGTAGTGTGTTGGGGGTGTAGTGATGGGAGTAGTGAGGTAAACAGATTAAATAAACTAATTGAAAAAGCTGGATCTGTACTTTGAAATAATCACACCATCGAAACAGTCGATAAAAGGAGGACATTAAAGGAAATTCTTCCATCATGGAGTACCCAACTCACCCTCTTCAAGACCTAGTGGTGAAACAGTGCAGTAGTTTCTCCAACAAGCTTACTGAGCTCCACTGTCACTGAGCGTTACAAGAGGTCATTCTTACCAGCAGCCATCAGGCTATATAATTACTGAGCCCTGACTGTCAGAAGGTCACATAGTGCTATGATTAAGCTCCTGGTTACAAGCTCCATCTCACATTACATCTGTTGTCCGTATTTATTGCTTATTAATCATCATTTGCTGCAAAGAACCTCTCTGACATATTGTACTTCATTGTGTTCATTGGACATTTCTATTCGCATTTTTCCACACTGTTTACGCTGCAGGCTGCATATTGCACATTCATGTTCTTTACAATACTTGCACTACCTTTTACATTTACAGCTATTTTCCAATTACTGTTGCATATATTCCAATACCCTTATGTATCTATCTGATTAATTATGGGATCTATTTCACTTGTGTGCTCTGCTTTCTAGTTTGTTTTATCTTAAGCTATTCCTTTTCCTATACTTAAGCTATGGGTACTGTGATATGCTGGTATTTAATTAATGCTTGCTGCTGTAATAGAAGAATTTCCCAGTTGAGATCAATAAAGTACATCCATCCATCCACCCATCCATCCATCCATCCATCCATCCATCAATAAACCATACTGTCAAGTCCAACCCCACCCTGTTTGTCTGTTTCCCTTGGGTGTGGCTTCTAATCAGCCACGCCTCAAGCTTTTTAGTCTTACCTCTTGTTCCTGCTCTCCTGTTAACCAGCCACAGCTGCATTCCATTTACTCCTCTGTTGGTCAGGTATATTAGCGTCTCTTAGTGCTGTGATTCCTTTTCAGTCATTGTTCTCTGTCCATGTAAGCTGCCATGCCTGTTTCCCCTCAATAAACTCCCCTGCGAAGGGTTCACTTGCTAACAGCCTGCGTTTGGGTAGCCCTTCTTCCACCGTGACGTGACAGAATGACTGAACCTCAAAGATGACCTCACAGCTGTTCTCCGGTCTAACCAGAGGAAATCTCTACTGTACCTTTGTTCCTCTGTTGAACCCAGAAAACCTCTACCTCTGTGACCGACGGTGGTACTGCCCCACACCAGAGTGGATTCTGTGGCCACTGCCTTGCCGGCTCCTGCACCCGTTCCAGAAAGGGACTAAGTGGAGGACACTTTTTGCTCTCTCCCTGGAGTTCTGCAGAAGCTCCTTGGAGATTCCTGACTGCAAGAATCACCTGAGATGATCACTCTGCTGCATCCCGGGCAACATGGGAGATAACATGCTTTTCTTGTCTTGCAATGGTGGGTGAAAGATACAACTTCACCCGACCGCCAACTGAGGGGCCTTCAATCGAGTTGCCCTTGTCTGCTGCAGCCCTCCCACCTACCAAGTTCACCTTATCCAAACTCCCCAGTGAGCCCACTGCCACACTGCTGGGAAAACCTTCAGTTAACTCCCGTCAGAGGAGACGTAGAGCTGGAAGGCCGACGGACCCTGATGCAATGGCACTCTGCCCAGAAGAGCTCACCATCTCTCCACAAGCACCAGACTCAGACGAGGCCGGTGCTGCTCCGCTGGGTGAGATCACCACCATGTCCTCCACTCCTGCCTCAGTTTTCACTGTGTCCCTGAAGGTGTTCACGCTCTTCCTGTCTTCCAATGTACTCTGCTCATCTTCAGAGGTGCCTGTCGAGTCTGGGTCATTCTTGGAGGCACCCACCATGCCCAGCCCAGAAGAGGCCCATGCTGCCCCTTTAGTGTCCAGTCCAAGAAAGACCTCCGCCACTCTGCAAGCACCTGACCCAGAAAAGGCTGCTGCTCTGCTGGCGTTTGACCCAGGAGAAATAG